CGGTCGCAGGAGCTGCAGCCGGGAGCGTGCTGCACGCGCCTGCCGGCTGCCCCGAGCGCCGTCACCGGCGCCGCCGCACCTCGACCTCCGCCCGCCGAGCCGCGCGTGCATCTGTCCGTCTTCCTCGGTTGCTTCTTACGATTTTTCTTTCTCTCTCTCTCTCTCTCTCTTTTTTTTTTTTGCACGCAACCTTTTTCTGTTCCGTTTTGTCCTTTTTAAGGCGGGGGCGGCGGCAACGTAAGCTCGGGGCGGGGAGGGGGCGGCCGGAGGATGCGGCGCGGGGCTGCGCTCGCTACGTCCGCAGCTGCTGCCCGGCTCGGGCCTGAGCGCCGAGCAGGTGGGTACAGGTGCGCCGGGCGGGGAGGGGAGGGGACGGGAGGCGCGCCCTAGCCGAAGGGGACCCGCGGACCCAGCGACCGATGGGCGGACCCCGCGGCAGGGGACACGGTGACCGGTGCCGCCCCGCCCCATAGCCCACCTCCCCCTCTTCCAGCCTTCTCGCTCCTCCAGATCCCCTGCCGCTCTCTCGTCTCACCTCTGTGGTCCCCCACCCTTCCCTTCCCATCCCCCATTCCCCTCCAAATTCCCCTGCAGTGTCTCCCAGCAGGAGGACTCTGCGTCGCCTCCCTTCATAGGCCCCCTCCCTGTTCTGCCCCCAGTTCCCCTCTCTCCCTCACGCCACCCCCATTTCCACTCCTCTCCCCATTCCGCCCCCGAGCCAAGGAGGGGGAGGGGGACCCACCGGCTGCCTCCAGGGAGTGGCGCGGGGGGCGTGGCCGGCCGGTTCCCTCGGAGTCCTACCCTCTGAGTAAGTCAGGGTCTCCCCCAGGTCCCTGCCGAGGTGGCACAGAGGTTGGAGCCCGGGGCCGCTCCGGGGCGGCGGGGGGCCAGGAGGGCGAGGCCGCCCTGCCTGCACCCCCGCCCCACGCACAGCACCCGCCGAGGCGGCCCCTGCCACGCACATCCCGCGCTGCTCCGCCCACGTGGGCTCCGGGAGGAGGCTGAAGCGCTGGGAAGAAAGGCTGGTACCCACCCTGCTGCCCCGCCGGAGCGCCCTGGACGCACGCAGCCTGGGGAGATGGCGCACAGGGATTGGTTCCGCGGGGCGGGGCACCTTGCCTGGACACCCTGCGTTCAGGCCCCGGCCTATGGGCCTGCGTTAGTGCACGTGCCCTCGTCACCAGCCCCCTGCCCCCTCACTCCATCACCACCCTCCCTGCTGCGGGCTCTTGAGGATCCGGCCTCGTCATCCCTGATGGAGGCCACTTGCCAGGCTGGAGTCTTTCGCCATAGAAGCATGCCCCCCTCCCACACACACCACCCCTACACCACCACCCCTCCCCACACACCGTAGTCTGCATTTCTCCTGATGGCTTGGCGGGCCCAGGCTCTCTGCCCGCCTCTGCCCGGCTCTTCAGACTCCAGAGATACTGTATCTAACCAGTGGTCCTGCGCCACCCCCACCCTTTCCACGCACACTCATGGGCACACTGTCCTTGGCCTTTGCTTGCGCTGGTCCCTCTCTGGGAACGCCCTTCCTTCAACTGGCCAGCTCCTTCTCCACGAAGGTCAGGAAGAACCCCTTGCCCCGTCTGAGTTTCCTTGTATGGCAGAGCGGGACACATTGTTGTCCTGTCTGATGCTCTCAGCCTCCCAGGCCAGATGAGATTTGGAAGGGCAGGGGCAGCCTCAACCCTTCACACAGGGCTCTGATCATGGTAAATATCCCACCGGAGGGGGGCCCTCCCTGCTAACTGATGACCGGCCAGTGTAGGGTGAGTCTGGCTTCTCCTCCAGACCTTGGGCAGGTGGGTGGCACTTCCATGAGCCCAGATGGGCAAAGACGTTTGGGGATGGCATGGGGTGGTCAGGACCCCTCTCTGATGCTTGCCCAGCAGGGCGACTTCTAGGAGATCTGCTCACTCTAAGAGAGGTCTTCCAGACAGGGCATGATTGGGAAGTGTTTGTTGTTGAGACTCTTGCACGGGGTCTGTAATGCTGAGCATCTCTCCAGAGCTTGGGGGTAACTCCCACCTTGAGAGCGCAGGCCAACAAATGCGATCGTTGCTTGTCCTTCACAAACCATCCTTAGCTCCCACTTGCCTCGGTGACCTCACATAGTTCTTCACATCCTGGCTTCCCTGGCCCACCTCTCTCCCTGTCCCACTGTCTCAGCCTCATGTGCTACCTCTGTGTTCCCTGGACCTGTCTTCACACGTAGGCTTCTCCCCACGTTTTCGGTTTTCCTGGGAAATGTGCCCCTCTCTCGTCTGCCTGGAGAACTCCTATTCATATGTGAAGGCCCAGGTCTCCTGTGACGTCTTGGTGGTGTTTCCTGACTTTGCCGAACAGATTGTGGGTTCTCTCGTCTGTGCTCTTTTAGAACATATATCCATGTATACTTTCATATGTGTGTAGTTTTTCCTTAAGCAGACCTTGCCCACTGGAGAGTGGGGTCACAGTGAGGTCTGAGGGGGAGCCCTGCTTGGACGGGGGCTCCACCTTCCTGGGGAGGCAGTCATGCCCACAGCGATCATGCCAGGCGCTATAAGAGGGACATGCATAGGGAGGGACAGAGCTTGACAGTCTCCTTAGCCTGGCTGGAGGATTTCACAATGAGGAGGCAGGATGGAGGCCCCACTCTTTAGTGTCAAGGGTCTGTTGGGGCCGGGAGATGAGTGGCAGAAGGAATAATTGCAGAGCAAGGTGTCTGTCAGCATGAGAATGGGACCTGCCTCTGCAGGCTCTGGAGCCAGGCTGCCTGGCATCCACTGGGGCCCTGCCCCTCCCCCAGCTGGGGCTGAGGAAGTGCCTCCCACCTGGGCTTTGTAACCAAAACGGGGTGTCTCCCTCAGAAAGATTGTGGATGACTGCGCCGTGTTCTGGGGCTCCTCACTTGGTCTCCTTGGGGTGTTTGAGTTGACTTGTGGGGGCTCCTGAAGTCGATTCAGCTTTGTCCTGTTCCTTAAGGCTGTGTGATCTCAGGCCACAGGATTAACCTTTCTGAGCCTCCATTTCCTATACGACTGGGGGCAGTGGTCCTCTGGCCGGGCTGGTATGGGCATCAGAGTGTGGGCTCTGGGCACTGGCATCACTGAGTAAGTGGTCATGATGTTGAGGGAGTGTGTGGTTCAAAAATCAGTCCTTCGGTTTTGTCCCAGAGCAGCCACCCCAGTTAGAGGCCCTCCGTGTCCCTCCCCAGCTGACAACAGCAGGCCAATACGCTAAATATTCCATAAATGGGAGTGAGAGACGGAGGGAGTGGGTGCGTGTTGGCTAATGAGAGTTGTGCACATTTGTGTGAGAAGGTGCTGAGGGATGCAGGCAGGAGTCCTGAGCTCATGGTGCCCTAATAAAGGCCACCCACCTGCCCCGAGCAGCTCCTTTGATGCTTCTGCCATCTGAGCTTCTTTCCTGCTCAGTGGTGACAGTGATTTCCACCCAGTTCCTAAGAAGACTCTTAACCCCCTTAAAGGAACAAACCATCAGCACCAGCTAGGTGAGCTGAGCCGTGAAGGAACAGGGCTGGAATAGGGCTGGGTCAGAGGGGCTGCGCTGAGGACTAGCTCAGACCCTCCTGGCTGCGCAGCCTTGGGCAAGACACTTAACCGCTCGATGCCCCGGTTCCTTTTCTTGGGATGCTCACGTGAGGAATAGAGCTATTGTTGCTTAACCTCCCACTCCTGCTGGAATTCTCTTGCTGAAGCTGCCGAGCACCTCTCTAGGGAAGGGCTTATGTGAACACCTGACAGGCAGGGACTGAGCCTGGAGGTGGAGGTGGAGGGAGGCAGAGGCGGAACTCGCCAGCGGGGGTCCCATGCTCTAGAACTTAGGTGTTGCTCCATGGAACATGCTGATCCCTGTAATGGAAAGTCAACCTTCCTACAGGGCCCATGTGAGGAATCAATCAGAGGAGGCTTCTCAGTGCTTTTGATGGAAATCTGTTACCTTGAAGCCAGTAGAAACCATTCGTGTTGCTGTGATCTGAGGCTCAGGAAAGGACTCCAGGGCCAGCCAGCGGTGGGACCTTGCTTGTCATTGTCCCTCTAGCCCTGAACACTGTCAGAAAATGTTTTCTTTGCTCTAGCCTTTCCAAGGCCAGGTGGAAAGCCCAGAGACCATGGGCCAGTGGGGGAGGGGCAGGAACAAGGAGGCGGGAGGGGGGTTTGCTGGGAGCCTCAGACTGTGAGGCAGGGATTAGGAGCCCCTTCCTGTAGGAGATAGCAGGGGAAGAGCTTGCAGAGAGTGGCCGGGGCTGGTCCAGCATGACCCGAAAGCAGCAGAGTGAGGGCGGGCACTGAGGTCCTGCTCTTGCCTTCCTATTAGTATTTATTTTTGGAACTGCAACAGGAAGTATTTTACCTCTCATTCATCTCTAGAAATGAATTGAGATAAATGCCATTTTTCTTGATTGTAGCAGTTAACATTTGTTAAGCACCTACCAAGGGCCAGGGTGTATGCCAGGGGTCGGCAAGCTGCAGCCCTATCAGCCAGCCACCTGCTTCTGTAAATAAAGTTTTATTGGCACCCAGCCCTGCCCATTGGCACACCTGTTGTCTGTGGCTGCTTTCCTGCCGTGTTGACAGAGTGGCGCAGCTGTGGCCGGTACCTGTAAAGCTAGAAACCCTCGCTACCTGGCCTTTTGCAGCCGGAGTTTGCCGCACCCTGGTCTGCGCTGTCCCTGATTTGGGTTCATTCAGTTCTGGACGCAAGCCCAGAGGGAGGTGCCTTGTGTTTCTCACTTTACAGATGGGTACAGACAACCTCTGAAGCCTGCCGCAGGGTCACAGAGCTGGTAAGTGGGGAGCAGGGATCTGCACCCAAGCAGCCCACATTATTACTTTTTTGGGGGGGGATTTATGTATTTTTAATTAGCTTCTAATTGAATTTTCCCATGTTTAGAGAATATGGTCTGTATGATATCTATTTTTAAAAATTTACTGACAATTTTTTTTTTAAAGATTTATTTATTTCAGAGAGACAGAGAGAGCGCTTGCATGCACGGGGTGAAAGAGGGGCAGAGGGAGAGGGAGAGAGAGAGAATCTCAAGCCGACTCCCCGCTGAGTGTGGAGCTGATGTAGGGCTCTAGCCCACGACCCTGAGATCATGACCTGAGCCGAAATCGAGAGTTGGATGCTTAATCAACAGAACACCCAGGTGCCCCTATTGACAATTTCTTAATGACCTGGTGCCTGATCATTTCTTAAAATATCTTTGTGCTACATATATATGTAATATTTAATAATGGTTATCCCGTTAAGCACATTTAAGTGTACTGGTCAGTAGCAGTATGTTCACTTGTGCAGCCGTCCCCATCCAAGTCCAGAACTTTCCCG